AGTTACTTATATATATATATATATATATATATATAGACACACACACATATGGAAAGAGTATATATTTGGAAAGAGTTTACGTGAGGTGGCAAACAAAGGTTGAGAGAGAGAGAGAGCATACGCAAATAGAGAAGCAAGAATAAAGAGGGAAACAATGATGACATGCCCATCCACTGGCATGCCTGAATATAAGCATGAATACATGCATCCATCATGCACAATTTCTTTGGGGAATAGGAGAGCATGGATGTGAGAAAAAAAATCTAGTGGTGAACAGGCAAATAAAACGGAAAGTGCCACCATATACGGCACAATAATGTATTAAGTGTCATGGCCTGTGAAGACCATCCATAAAATTCAGAATTTCAGATATATACCTGATTCTTGCCTTCAATGAAAATAGTCATGTAAGGATGCCAAGCGGGATCTCTGGTATGGTCCTCCCACAAGGAACATAACTCTGATGCCTTAATTTCCCAATCTCCACCTTGAAGCTTTGCTTTAACTGCATCTTTAAATGGCTGGTCATCAAGAGCCCCCATTCTTTTTGCGCCAATATGCGCACGAGTATTGGGCTGGTCTTTAAAAAACTGCAAGGCTATGTGTCAGATTCAAGATAGCCTTCATTTTTTTTTTAAATATTCAAGAAAACCTTCATTGCTAATGGAATTTCATAAATCATCACTATATCTCCATAAGAATCATGAATAAAAACAGGTTTTATGACCAATTCATTGCATCACAAGAGGCATAACAATCCCTTGCATAACCTGGAATTTTAGCAGAAGTTATACAAGATTTGCAGGACAATACATACTAGATATAAAAGGAGGCTCGTACCTCGATTGCTTCTTTACGAGCAGCTTGCAGCTCATCATTTGTTTCTCGCTCCTTGCTTAAAAGAGCACTGTTTAGGTCTTCCAAGCATTGCATTTCATTTTCTTTCTCCTGAAGTTCCTCAACAACTGCCTTTATTTTCTCATCAATATCGGTGTTATCATCTCCTTGCAGATGTTTCATCATCACTAACTCTCCTTTCAACTTTTGAATCTCAACTTCCACTCTCTGTTTTTCATTCAATTCCTTTTGTTGTTTCCTAACTACATTCGCCAACCTCTCTTGTTCGATCTGTACAATTTAGGGAGTACAAAATGCAATAGATCAACACACATCTACATGTGTGAAGAACATTATCTAAATAGCAAAGGAAACTGAATGCATAATCCCATGTGACAAACCTTGTGATGCTCCATTAGTTCCTTCACCTTTTCATCAACTATCTTTTGTTCCAGACTAGCTTTTTGAAGAGAACTATTTTTTAGAGCATTCTGCAAATATACACAACAGAAACAGTTACTTTTCAGATATTTGATATTGTTAAAAAATCATTTTTTCTGAACCACCATGATTAAAAGGTTATCAATCCATAGTGTGAAGTAACATACAGTAAAAGACAAAAAAAAGAGTCTAAATAGAGCCATATGACAGACATCATAATCTTGCTTGATTATTCTTATGGTTGTTTATATTTTGGTTAACTACGACATTTGTTATGGATCATTGATTCATTCAGTTGAAGAATTCTGCAGCATAATCTTCTGGCAATAAGTGAATCTCAATAGTGTTTTAAAAGTTTCAATTCCAGCTAGCATTGGAGAAAAACCATCCAGTTCAACAATATTAGCTAAATCTTACATTTTAAGCCTCCAATATTCGAAAGAAGTGCAGTAAAATCAATGCTCGGTAATGTCAGAAATAAGAGATTATCACTGTATTTACACCCCAAGGTTTCTAGTGCTTTCATCCACAAAAGAAATCTGATCCATTGTCAATAACTTACTTTTCTCTTCTCTTCTTCAAGCTTCTTCTTCTCAGCATCATTCCGGGCTTCCCATTTTTCCAACTCTTTATGCCTTCTTTCTAATTCATCTCTCTCCAAAGCCAAAGTGGCTTCATGTCTGTTTCTTTCCGCCATTAGTCGTGACCAAATATTAGCTTGGTTCTGTCTTTCCTTTCGCAGCTCTAGTGAAAGTTACAAGTTAGACTACATGCTATGAACATTGGAATATGAAAAGCATTTTGCAAACATAGAATAAACTATAAGAAAAAATGTAGTCAGGTTATTATAATGGTCGGTATGGCCTTTAACAGGCTCCATAATAAACATCAGGAGATTCAGGACAAAAAAAGGGCGTAATTTCAAAGTCTATTTATTAGAGCTAGTAAAATGACATGATACCTAAATAGAAGCTTAAAAGATAATATACCTTGTTATCATTCATACATCCTAATAGGTCCCTGGTTTTGTGCAGTTAGAATACAAGAAAAGTTATCTATAACCCAGCTAAAATACTTTGTAACAATTGTAGTCTACTGTTCCTCCATGGTTCCAAATTTTAACTGTTTTACTTTTTTGGGATTATATATGATGAGCCCATTACCAGGCATGCACAAAGGTCACAAATACCCCATGCCATCAATGTAAAATTGGACAGCTGAGGAATGTCATTCTCAGCATGAAGTCCGGAGCAAAATTTTCTCCGACTTCAAGCGCAGTGAATGGTACGCCCCAAGCTGTCCAATTTCATAGCTGACAGCTAGGGTGATTGTGGACTTTTTGTATTGAACGTAAATAGCCTTATCGTATGCCTTCCGAACTATTTCTCCTATCCAAGTATTTCTTCTTATTTTCAGTTTTTCCAAAAACAATTCAAAGGAGCTATTTCTAAAACTCATTCTTTGAGGCTAAGAGCAAAAACTTGATGCAGAGATAAAAAAAAAAATTTATTATTATTAGTTTTTTTGAGTTTATCTTTTAACTCAAGAATAGGAGGTGCACAAGGATAATTAGGTGGGTATATTTTGTGTGTGAATTGCTATTCATCAATTGGTTGGTTAGTTAGGAATGTAAATAGGATAAGGTTAAATTTAGGGGGTTTATCTTTTGGCAACGTGGCTATCTATTGAAGAGGGTAGGCTACGGGTAAAACGTGGCTATCTATTGAAGGGGAAGGCTTTAGATAAAACATGGCTAGGTTAAGAGAGAGAAAAATAGGGGGAGAAATAAAATAGGCTTTGGATAAAACGTGGCTAGGTTAAGAGAGAGAAAAATAAGGGGAGAGATAAAATAGGAAAGTCCATTGTTTATCGTCTTTCTTAATTTTTTTGGTCTATTTAAAGGGATATCTCCCTTCATTGTAAAGGTGGTGAATGAGTTAATAAAATTTGGTCTCGTGAAGAGATTATTTTGGAGTGGATTCCCTTACAGACCTTGAGAGAGGGTATATTCTCTCAACCTTTCTTTTTTTATTGTTATTATTCTGGTTTATTTCCCCCTGCATCAATTGGTATCAGAGCAAGTCACATCCAGAGAGCAAGTTAGATCCAGACGCAAAATTAGATCCAGAGCTATCCGGTTTGTTTTGCAAGTTAATCCTGCTATTGCTATGGAAGATTGTTGGATACAAGCTATAGAAAATTTGACTAAAGCCGTAGAGGATTTTCGAACTGAATTACGTGAGATGAACCGGGGGATGCAACGGTTGGATTAAAGGTTGCAGCGGTTGGAGAACAATCTTCATCATGAAGAAGGTGCTCACAGCCACAGTCATCTTGCACCAGTAATTCCACGACGAACCCAGGGTGTAGATTTCGAGCATAACGAAAAAATTTACAGGCCAGATCTGCATCTTATAGAGTGATCACGAGATTTTAGTATTAAAATCGATCTCCCAAACTTTCATGGTCAAGGGTGCTCATCGATTGCAAATGGTGCTTCTTTGGAGATGGACCCATTCTTAGTTAGAAATAATCATAATCAGCCCAAGCTCGTATTCAACCATTACTCATGGAACACAGTCGCAGGCAAAGAGTATTACATTAGTATTGAAGAACTTGAAGAAAATGTGTCGAGGTGCATGGAGGGATTACATCACCAATTAGCAAATGGTAATTGGCTTGAAACTCAAGGTCGAGCTTCTCCCAACCTCGGGAGAATGATGAAGAGAAAAAAAATAATATTATTATTAGTTTTTTTTGAGTTTATCTTTTAAATCAAGAATAGGAGGTGCGCAGGGATAATTAGGTGGGTATGCTTTGTGCGTGAATTGATATTCATCAATTGGTTGATTAGTTAGGAATGTAAATAAGATAAGGTTAAATTTAGAGGGTTTATCTTTTGGCAAAGTGGCTATCTATTGAAGCAGGTAGGCTATGGGTAAAACGTGGCTATCTATTGAAGGAGAAGGTTTTGGATAAAACGTGGCAAGGTTAAGAGAGAGAAAAATAGGGGGAGAGATAAAATAGGGAAGTCCATTGTTTATTATCTTACTTAATTTTTTTAGTCTATTTAAAGGGATATCTCCCCTCATTGTAAAGGTAGCGAATGAATTAATAAAATTTGGTCTCGTGAAGAGATTATTTTGGGGTGGATTCCCTTGCAGACTTTGAGAGAGGGTATATTCTCTCAGCCTTTCTTTTTTTATTGTTATTATTCTGGTTTATTTCTCCCTGCATCAATTTGCATCAAAACTCTTTGGCCCTTGCCTCTCAAGAAACTACAATCATAAGTTTATAACATGCCAAGAATAACATTGCATCGAAATAAGAACGATTGGCATTGATTACTGCTAGATTAAACACCAACATAGTATCACATTGATCAATGTGAGAATAAACTACAATATAGAAATGGGTCCACATAAAATATTCTGCATACCCTTTGGCAAATAAGGAACAATTGACAAGACAATCACCTCGAATAAAGGCATCAAATACCCTCGGAAAGAGAAATAAATAAATAGACATATCTACATCAATTCCCCAATAGTGAAGATCTATAAATAGTAGAATATCCAAAAGAAATGAGATTTTCATCACCACTATTGGAACTTTTGCATTTCATATATTAATGAGTGAAGGCAAATTTTTGCTTCTTTTTTTGCATTGAGTTTCTTTTTGAAACAATTTGCATCAAGAATTTCACTTAGCTAATTCACATCGCCAAAACAAATCCTGTTAGAACATGAGTTTTAGTTAATATAGCATGTGATATTCAGCCCCTTGTTAATAAAATCATGATCTACTGCTACAGTTATGTGTAACACATTCCTAAACTATAATAGTAAAACCAATGTGATTTTCATGTGATTCATTCTACGAACTAGTTAGTTACTAAGCTTGCAAGATCAAAGCAGGGTTCTGAAAATAGTACAAAACATAATAGAAAGCCATTTGATTCCAAAAATGGAAAGAACCACAATTCAGGAAGAACAGTTATGCTTATAAAGAAATAAACATTCAGGTTCAGAAGCCAAATACCATCCCTATGAGCTTCATCTTGCAGAGCTAGTTTTCTGTCCATCTCTTGCTTTATGTACTCCATTTCCTTCAGTTTTTCCTCATGTGACTCTAATGATCTGCTCTTTAAAAGTATCTCATTCTTGAGATCTTCAACCAATGTGTTTTCTCTCTGCTTATGTTCATTAGCAAGTTCAGCAACAGTTTTCAAGTCCCCATTATCACGGAGGTGTTTACCGATATAATCATCAGCTTCATAGTCATCAACACGGGCCACCCAACCATAAAAAATCTTTTTGCAATTTTTTCCATTCTTTTTTTGTTCAAGCCATTGTTTCTTTCCACATTGTATTTCAGCAAAATATTTCTCGAAAGACATGGCATTGTGGTGTCCGGTCCAGTCCTTATGGAAATCCACAATGGCTATCCCTAAGTGACCCTGATAATTCCATATAGGATGAACTTTTACTGGTTGGAACCTCTCAAACTGTGCCTTCAATTGATTGGCACCAAGACCAACATATTTGCTTGACTTCTGGTCATACCCAGTCTCTATGTTAACAATTATACCCATCCAAGGGTAAACAAAAATGTCATCAGATGCTGATTTACTTAAAGGCTTTTGTATTTCTTTTGACCCATTCGAAGGCTCAGGATCATCAGCCACTTCTGCCTTCAAAAACTTGGCCAAGGCTCGGTGCTTCCCCTTTTCTTGTGTCTTTCTACTAGATGAGGAACCCACACCAGAGGCATGTTGAAGTAGGTCCTTGTAGGCATAAGCTTGCTTCTTTTTCCCTATACAGAAAGGGCATCTAAAGGTGCCATTAGAGTTTCTCAGAAAGTGTTTTCCTGATGTCAGTTCTTCATAAATGTCGACCTCACAGGAGTCTATTTCCGATTCACTTATTTCTGAGTCTTCACCAGAACAGGATGACATTTTCCACCCTACCAAAAGAAATCACAACACAGAGAGAGTACTTTATAATCTCCAGTGACAACAATTTCAATTGTGTATCAAGCACAACTTGAATTTTTTCTTTGAATGTTTACGGTTAATAATACTCTAAGTAACACCACCTGATTATAGAAAGGCCTTCTAAGCTCACTTATGAATCAACTGCCCCTGTGAACTGCAGAAAATATTCCTCAAGCATCAGCACTATAAATATTTCGGGATGTAACAGGCTCTAGAGAAGAAGTGATTTAAGCAAATCAAGGGCATGGTTAATGTACGAAGCCTACTGCAAGTAGTGAGCTCTGAGCAGTCAAAGTATAGACTAAGTAGTGAGCAAATCCATGGTATAGTATGGTTAGCGAACAAAGTATATCGCAAGTAGTGAGCAGTCAAAGTATAAAATAATGACATATTATGGATTTGAGAGTACATACAGCACCAAGTAACAAACTGCTTTCTAACATTAACATCGGAAAAGAGCGAGCTCTGTTATTCTCTCATGAAGAAACAGCAACAACTTTCACATACGATACAAGAGATTTAATAGTCCCATTCCCTGTTAAGTTCACTGAATCCTATCAGTTATTTGCTTCCTTTTACCAAAAATTATGACCAAATGAAAAATATATAATAAAAACACCCTTGTACAAAGTCATGGAAGGAAAAAGAGAAATTGAATTCCTAGAATATATGAATCCAAATAAAATGTAAGAACACACTTTAGCAAAACAAGCAAGGGAATCAGTTGGTACAAAGACAACAATTACCCACATAAGGGACAAAAACAAAATAGATATTGCTAATTCAACATTCTAAATGAGGAAATGCAGATCTAGGAGAATCTAAATGATATGAAAACTGCATGACCACGCAATCATACTGCTCTAAAGAGAGAAGGGAAATATTTTATTCAATGCATTGCCTTTTGACCCTAACCAGACCCATAAACGTCTTCAGACCAACAAATCTACAATATCTTTTCCTTTTTAAAGTTATAAATGCACTGGTGTTTTATCTATTCATTAAGTCATCCCATATAAGGAGTCGTAAATCCATGAAAAAGAATTTATCAAAAGATACAACCTGCAGTATAATGTACCCCACCAACATATTCGAAACTTTAACAGTTGATCAGAACACATATCAGGAGTTGGTAGTGTTAGAGGTATCTTTAGCTTCTCCACCAAAGGAATTAATTTGCCCTAGGTAAAGACTCGCTCACTGGAAATCATACATGATAACAAACGTATACACAAATTTAAACTGAAATCTTATAAATGGGAACATGACAACCAGATTTTCATGAGTATTCTTGTCTTTCGAACAATGTGATGTATTTCAACTAGAGATCAGACTTCCTGTCAATCCAAACACCACTTACCAGAAACAAGTGAACAAGATTCCTTTCAATCGGCAGTTACCAAATTCCCTAATAATGATGTTTTCCCGGGCATAGTCAACCCCAGAACAGTCTAACCTCTCTCTCTCTCTCTCTCTCTCTCTCTCTCTCTCTCTCTCTCTCTCTCTACTCTCGTACTACTACGTACTACGTACTTACTACTTAACTTAACTTAACGTACGTACTACGTACTACTACTACGTTACCGTACTACGTACTA